AGCTCTCGGGAAGAAGAGGACATAAAAGCAGCAAGATAGTGTAAAATCCTAACTTTATTAAGCCCTTCGTGACGGGAGACGTACAGTGTACGTCCCGTCACAAAGTGGCTATATGACTGGCCACGTACACTGTACGTGCTGAGTTATATTAGCCTCTGTAATGCTGGTAACTGCTGATTCTCAGCAGTTCCAGTCATTAATTAATGCCTCAGTATTGAGACATTCATTAATGAAATAGTTAAGCTTTTTTAAAAGCTTTCTTTCATTAATGAACGAATGAACCCTTTACATTCAGATACGGGTTCGCTAAATAGCGATCCGTATCTGACAGCTGAAGATAGCAGAGCGGTAGCAGTGACTCACCTCTCTGGTATTCGTTTTGAAAGCTGGAGAGCCTGGCCCATGTTAAATGATACATTTCAACCACTAGATACAAATGTATCTCTTGAGTGAAATGTATCAGTTTTGATTGTCTAGGACAGGGGTGCCCACATGGTCGATCGCAATCTACCAGTCGATCGCGTAGCGATCACTGGTAGAATAAATTAAAACCACACTTCCAAAAACCATGCATATTATACAGCAATTCCTGTCTCTACGCCCGCCACAGGTCCAGACACAAACTCTCCCTCCTTGTTCTTCTAGTCCTAGCCACAACGTGTTCTGGTTTGCGCTTGACCCGGCTGTGCCCCACATGTTGTCACTAGGACTTAATCAGGAATGTCCAAAGAAGTCACCCGCACTCCAAGGTCCAATGTGCTGGGCGCCTCTTTCAGTCAGACGTCACTATGTTTGACTGATTAAGGGACCATGCTCGGTTCCAAAACGTTGCTTTTTCACTGTGCCACCATATTTACCTAACATCTGAATAAAAGAGGGGTTCAGCCCATTGGATCTTGGAGTGCGAGTGACTTCTTCGGACATTCTTGTGATTAACGTGGCGCCATCCGCAGGTCATACCAGCTCCCACTTACTTTATGGGATTCCGGTCAGGAGTGCTGTGGATTATAAATTGTTAGGACTTCATCAGGCTGACAAAAGTTGGTACGGTGGCCTGTTGCTGCAACAGTGAAAGGGTTAACATTGGTGGTTTATTTCATACATTGCATTTGAAGTGATTTGTACTCACGTTGTACATTGTATATCTTTCGTCACTATTGTGTTATTGTGATATAGCAGGTAGTTAGTTGATTTAGAGCAGGGGTAGGCAAACTCCGGCCCTCCAGCAGTGGTCTAACTACAAATCCCTTCATGCATCTGTTTCTAGGAATCATGCCTGTGGCTACCAGAATCTTGCAATGCCTCATGGGATTTGTATTTTCACCACAGCTGGAGGGCCGATGTTTGCTTACACCTGATTTAGAGTTTTAGCATTGCGCCCTAATATTTCTACACACACGTGTATATATAATTGTATACAATTTTGTTTTTCTTCAAAATAGGTGGCTTTGGTATATATTAGAGTAGTTAAAACGCAAAAGGATCTCATTGGAGATAGTCAGGTTTCATTCCTCTGACCCCTGGGCCATACTCTTTGATATCTAGGCAGCCGTCTGAGGCTTTCTCAGATCAATGCACAGGGAGATCCAGAGCTGCCAGTAATTTTAGGACCAGTGGCATGTTTTTGCTTTGGCTGCTGTAAATTATCAGTGGTGCCATGTTTCACAGGTACTAGTGGCACCAGTCTTCCTCAGGTAAGCAGAGACATAAGTAATGTACTCCTTCAAAGCAGAACTTAAGCGAAAAATAAGATAAAAATTACAGGCTCATTCAAAGATAAAATAACAAAACCAGCTTTCCCAAGTCATCCTCCAGGACTGTCACATGAGAGATAGGCTCCTCCCACCCACAAGAAACACTGGCACAGAAAGGTTAAAAGCTCGCCTCCAGCTCCTCAGTTCTTGTTTCCCTCATCACCTGCAGGCACATTTTTTTGCAGCCCCCCCCCCTTTTTTTTTTTCTTCTTCTATCCTCTAATTCTAATCCTATAATGCTTGAAGGCACCTGGGAATCCTACTTGACCCCAGCTTTGTTGCGGGCATGGAGGTCCTGTAAACTGGCATTGGGGGGAGAACTTGGGAAGGATATTGGGGCATGGTCGCTTTAGGCCTCTTCCACCCTTATGGTGACCATTTCCTGTGTTCCATGGTGTTACCTCCCTACTGTTTTAGGTGCATTAGCACACTAGTGGTGCATGGATTCTCTTCCTGCAAACAGAGTTTTATGAAGGTAGGGCCTTGCTTTTCCAGACTGAGCCGGGTCAGTTGCGGTGGCATGCCAGTGAGGTTTGGCAGTTGTGATATTACTTTAGCGTTGGGACATCTTTTCTGTGTCGTGTGACCTGAAGTGATGCTGATGGCTGTGTTCAACTTCTGGTGGGTGGAATGCCCACCAGGCTCCATGTGAGATATATTGGAAGTATGTGGGGGGCTGCAACATGTTTGCTTATATACTCAGTGGGGGCAGCTTGGGTACTGCTAGTTCATAGTCTTCTAATGATTCTGGTGGCATTTACTCCATACCCTGCAAGGGTACTGATACCAGTTTCTGTATAGGGTCTTCATCAGAGTCTCCTTCACCTGTCAGGTGATATCAAGTCTGTCCCTCACCTAGATCGAGACCTGTACTCTCAGGGTGTTACTTGTACATCTAATATTTCCAGGAGCATGGGCTCCTGGTTTTGGCTTAGTGTTTTTTCATGTCATCCTTATTGTGGGACACTCGAGCAAATCTTGTTTTATCAGGTTTCAGGGTTATATTTATCCACTATAGTGCTTTCACTATACAGCATCTTTATGTTCAGGTCTTTTGTCATCAGAAGGGGATATGCCCCTATCTCCTTTCATGCAGGAGCATTTTTTTATTTTATTTTTTTTTTCCTTCCTATTTTCGCTGCAATTTTGGGTTTAGTTTCTGAATTGGGGTGTTCTGTCAGAGCTCCTGGCTCAGACTCATTGGACACCATCAAGATGCTACCGTATTTTTATCTCAGAAGGATTGAGAATTCTTCCCAAGCCAGGAGGGAAGGTCTGGTTCCTGCTCTTGATAATACTTTGAGTCTAATATTCCCGTCTGCTCCAGGCGCAATCAGCATCTAAGTGTAAACACATTTAATCTTTAAGTATTCAAAGTCATTTACTCACAAAAGTATATATATTCAAGCGTATATAAACTCCTCTCAGTAGGGGCACATCAGCCCATCTGTTCAAGCACTGTCCGACCGCTCTGTTTGTTCACCGCCGACTTCAAGCCCGTACTCCGTGCTGTCTGGTTTACATTCCAGGGGCACATCCCCTTCCTCGGAATACTGTGAGTCTGTCTCATCTGCACTGTTCCCTGTAAGGGCAACCTCTGGCAGACCTGGTACCCCAACTGGTAGCCTCTGGACATAGGAGAGGCTCACTTTTTAAGATGTGCCTACATTGTTTGACTGGTCAAGTCATCAGGAGAGGACCCAGTGTTCCTTGGGTTTGTTGAAAAATGATGCACATTGGTCTGCTGCTACAGGATTCTACTGGTAGGAATAGACGGCTTTATTGGCTTTGGTGGACCTGTCTACCTAGGGGTTAGGTCTTCTCCCCTTGTCTGTTACAGCCTATCAAGGAAGTCCTTGCAGGCGCTTCCTTTTGTTTTGCCCCTTCAGTCGGGTTTTTTGGCTGTACTTAAAGCAGACCTTTTACAGTTAATCTAATTCTACCAATGCATCCCTCCTATGTATGATAATTAATAACATAGACATGTCGGGTATAAAATGCTGTGATTTAGAAATACTTACACTTGCAGAGCATACACCTGCTTTGAAAGGGCAAAATTACTTCAGTTTGCCAAAGCAATGCACACTTGGATTGATTTGTCATCAGCAGAGCATTGCTGGGAAATATCTGTAATCTCACGAGATCTCAGGGAAAGGCATTTTCCGCCCCTGAGATGTGCATGATCACATGTCTAGTCGCATGTGTCAGAAATCCAGGAAGTAAAAGGAAAGCTAGTAACCTGCCCTTATCACTGCCATGAGACTGGGAAAGAAAAGAAAAATAAGGTATGCAAAGAATACAAAGCCTGCAATTTATCTAGAAGTATGTGTTTTTAGATTGTCATTACTGAACATTTCTAAAGTTGTGTTTGTTTATATTTTAAAGATATGGGTAAAGGTCCGCATTAAGATCTCCTTCTCCTGTGTTTATGGACACGGATGCTTTGCTGGATTGAAGATCAGGAGCATGTGTAGGCCAGGGATCGGCAGGATGGTTTTTCAGCAGTATTCCTGTGGGATTCCCAAAGACACCATTAGCGAATGAATGAGGGTGTTTTTAGCTTTGTACCTCTGGGTATTTAATCTTGCCAGTCAGGAGCCAGTCTCATTCCATGTCCTGTCTCCCCTTCTGGAGGGGCTTTCCCAGCACCTGATCCCTTCAAGCTCTGGAGTTCTCTAGTGGACTCGGGAGTCTCTAATGTTGAACATTGTTGTGTTCTAAATCATGGTTCCACTGATGAGTCTTTTAGCCTAGACAGAAGTGGTCAGGGTTGCAAAGTCTTTTTGATTTATTTTAACTTCTGGTTACTTTTGGCATCTGTTCCTTCTGGTCCCATTCTTAAGGGGCCATATCAGGTTGTGGGTCCTTTCTTCCCATCAAGGGAATTGGTTGGGTTTTGTTTTTTTCCGTCTGTCTTAAGTTCTGATTGCTCACGCTTTCTGCCGTTCACAGGAGGTGATTCTTCTGTCTTTTTGCAAAACAAGCAATTAGGAGGAAGCATTTGTGCCATGAGAAGTTGTATCTTGCAGTACATAGATTAGACTAAAGAATTTAATTCTAAAGCTCTGTCCACACTATTCAGAAGTTCCAATGTATGACATCCACGATGTATGTCATACGTCCGTGACTGCCGGCATGTGCAAAATTGTTTACATTTTAACACTCAGCTGTCGGCTTTTTAATGGAAGTGATTTGCTTGGCTTTACACGCTGTGGAAGGTGTTTTGGGGGTTTTAAGTAATCAAAGCAAAGCTCCCATAAGATTTGTCATTAAGATGTAAGGTTGTTAAGACTGTGGTCCCTCCCAAAAACATGCATGTTTGTAGTCTCTCATGTGACCGTCCTGGAGGATGACTAGGGAAAAAAAGAGTTATTACCCGATAACACCTTTCTCAGGAATCCTCCAGGACGGCAAGTCCACGCACCCCCCCTCCC